CTACCTTTTGGCAGGGGCAGTTCTCCTGAGAGATTTTAAAGAGATATTGTAGCAGGATAAAGAGGAGTGTTTTTTTTCCAAAGTTGATGCAGCTGAATGGATGAAGAGAATAAGCCAAAACCTAAGAGGTATTTTGTTTGTGTGATTTTGAGCTGAATACTCCAATTTGCAGCTTTTCTGTGGACAAAGAGGAGGTTGTCTGTTCTGCTGCTATGATGGGGATTGGATCACCAGGTTACCTAAGAATACATTCATAAGTGGTATTACTTACAGTAAACGGAGACAAATGTTGGCTTCATCTATGCTAAATAAACTTAGGGCTTGAGATGGCACTTGAGTGCAAATTCCTATATTGCTTAAACAATGCCTACATTTTGGTTTTTCTTCCGACTATAACTTGGAATGAACCAGACAGGAAGACATGGTTTAGAAAGTGTCTCTCACACATGACACTGTACTTTGAGTCACTTGCCTCTGAGATCTAACCCTAAACTCAAGAACAGTTACCGAAAACCTTTAGACATAACCAGGAAGATTTCCTCTTGAGATGAAAAAAAAGTCAGTCATCAGGCATCATCCCATATGCTGTGCAAATGAGAATTTATGAGAAGTGTATCAGTATTTTTTTCTCCTTTTTTTTCCTCTACTCTTTTCCAAAATGCCAATGAGAGCAAGAGAATTAATATTTCCTCATGTGATAGGAAGATGCCCTATGTGGAGGATAAATTGGAGAGAGAGAAAACAAAACAAAACAAATCCCTAGGAGTACAGTCTTCTACTTTGGCCTTGCTATCAGCAGCAATCTTAATTCTCCCACCTCTCCTTCCTGTCCCCTCTCAGAATTGACTTGTTTTCAAAAGTAAATGGAGTTTGCTTGCTTTTAATTTTTGTGGATACTATGTTGATGATGTTTTAAAGGATCTGATCTTTTACAATGCAGAAAGAGTGCTTTAGCAAATTCTCATCAGGCTTTCAAGCTGCTCACCCAAAATCAGACTGTGATTTAAAAATTTGCTGCTGCTTCTTAATGCCAGTCTGCTGTAATATGGGCAAACAAATGCTATTGCTGCATTATTTTACATGCAATTTCAACAGACAGTATGCTCTATATACCAATAAAGCAGAAGAAAGCAGCTGAGTTTGAGTACGGATAGCTTTGCTTATTTGGTTATTTAAAAAAAAAAAAAAGAATATGTCCTGTGGGTTATGAATACTTAGAATCCCAGTTTGCTATTTCAGTGATACGTCAACAGGATGTAGCTGATACAAGAATCAGCTATATTTAGGTGAAACTCTTGAAATGGGATTTAATTCTAAGTCTCCTCTGCATTTTTGTGTCTCAAGCTGCCTGCCAGGCTTGAGTGATACATGATTAATAATTGAGCACATCATATTTATACATTCCTTTGCAGCAGATGCATGAGAAGAAAACAGAAAATGAAGGGGAAAAAAATAAAGGGTTAGCAGCTTGAGATAGTAAAAGGCAAAAATGTGCTTCCATGGTGCTTCCTGCAAGAAAGAAATGAGCTGAAAGTGGTGATAACTAATCTGTCGATCTGCCTTTCCTCAACCTTTACGTTTTAATTTATGACCTCCCCCATTTTCATACATGGCCCTTTCTCTAGCCCAAGAAAATCAATGATAATATTGTTGTGACTGCACTAGGCTTAGGGTTAGACTGCTTATATTGGTTAAAATATATGCCAGCTAGTGAGAGAAATCAATTTAAGGCCATATAAGGTACGTTTTTCCCCAATAGGGCACCGTGTGGTTAACAGTATGGTCCAGTGTCTTCAGCTGTGTTGAGAAAAATATCACTTCCATTTTTTTTGGCATGTGAGGACTGTTTGCTACTTCCAATGAGAGCAAAATAAAACTATCAATCAGCTTCGTTACTACATCTTACCAATTTAAAAACTGAGTCTCAGTTAACTGCCTCAAAGCACTAGTGCTAGGTGCTAATGCTCTTCTATTTGTGATGCCAGCTTCAAGGAACCACCACATCTACCTCTCATCCCATTAAGCGCTGGTAAATTGTTTATGAAAATTTAAAGTTCATAAACCACCAAACTCTTCCATTTAAAGCTTACAATGAACTGCAGACAGTCCTATGGCAATAATCTTGTTTCTCTCAGTTTTATTTAAAATATACATCCTGGTGTGCAGGAAGTACAGTGTGAAAATCGTGAAGCCAGACTTTATTGTCAGGAAATTTGAAAAGAGTATGCCACAGCTTTACAGCCTTAGCCTTGGCCGTGGTCATACCTGTGTTCCTGGTCAAAGAGTCTATGAAACCTGTGCTCTTCATTTCTGCAGCAAATAATGGGGTCCATCTGGTTTAGTAGTCAGTGTACAGTGGTAGCTGTAGCTACACGCTTCTCAGAGAGAGGCAAAGGAAATCGCATGTTCAGTGTTCCTGGAATAATATGCCTAAAGCTTATTTTATTTCTAACCACAGACAGCTGTTCATTAGCTTCTTTCTGGAAACATCAAGGTTTATATTCACTCACCCAAACCTTTTAAAAAGGTTTTTCTACTGGAACTGTAGATATTATTATTATCTTTAGAAGTGTGCAGGTTCACCTTGAATTCTACTATTTCTCTTCAGTATTCTTCTTAGGATAAGAATGGCTTCAGCTGTCACAGCCTTTTGAGAGAGTGCTTCCACTCACTGGTACATTCTGGTGCTGATTCAAAATTAGTCCAAATATGCAGGTAGTATTCCTTAGCAGGATATAGCAGAAACATATGTGGAGCCATTTCATTATTTTCAGATTTTATTATTTATTTTTGTTTCATATATGGCATAATATATTTGCTGTTTGTTTACCCATTAGCCACTACAATGGTGCGTTTTTTGTTGATCTTGCTGCACTGTGCACCAGTCTTTCTCTGGAACAATTATGATTAATACAGAAACACACCAGTCTACCAGTAGGTCGTATTTGGTAAAACCTTGCCTATATAATGCATCTTCCAAACCTATACCCATGGTAATGTAAGCATTATTGGAAGAGCCCTCTATGGTAGATGGAGCCTAAAGCCCTGCCTCTCCAAGGCCACATTCTTCCATTGACTTCATCTTAGATGCCTTACGTGCCAATTCATCAGCAGATCTGTGTAACCTACGTGAAATCTCCCCAAATCATCGGTTTTGGATGATCAGAGATAGCTGTAGCTGTTTTAGGGTGTTTCTGCCACACCACCTGTTTGTTACCACCTTTCAGCTAGGAAGTTATGCTCCTCAAAGCGAAACCGGTAAACCAAATTGTGCAAATGCTTTAGCAACGTTGTATGGCTTAGAAACTTAATTTGCCGAAATAAAATATAGAATACAATATAGAAAGCCATGATGAAATGGGAACAAAAGGATATTTTAAAATCCTCACAATAGGAATGTTTTAAGAAGAGTCTATTGTGACATTTGTGATGGCAGCTCTCTGAACATTGGCTCAAATGAGACTTGTTCCAGCAAAATGTTTCTGTGGGGTAGTCCCTTGACGCAATGGTAGTTAATGGTACCCCACTGTATAGAGCAGATTTGTCTTACCAAATAAGATCCTTAATATCTCTCTTTTCCTAAGGAAATGTTTAGCCTATTTTGGTGTAATAAGAAAATGCTTATATACTAACATATTTCTATATGACTGCATGTGTTTTTGTATGTGCCTACATTTTTTCTAGAGACTACCAAAAGCCTAGTCAATGAAGAAAGACAAGTGGCTAATTAAAAAATAAAATCGCTATATGTATATGCTTTGAGGATAGACATTGATATTGCTACTAGCAAGTACTGATCGATAAGATAAGTGTGAAGAAAACATAAGTCATCCATCTGCTACATCCATCTGCTGAGAAAAAGAAATGTGTTGCCAATAACAGGTCTATATTCATAGTTCTGTGTGTTCTGTGTGCATCTTCATGACAAATGTCTTTTTTTTATATATATATTTATTTATATGTTCAACTTTGATATATATATATATATATATAAATTTAACTTTATAGTTAATAATACTAAATAGCATTTCATGTACCAGAAGATAAGCAGCTCTAAGGTTGTTATTTCTTAAAACAAATTAGTAATACAGCAGAAATTCCCAGATGTCTCCTTAAAGTTTATAATGATAAATCAGTGACTTCTTTAATGCGTCTGATAAAAGAATTAGCTTTACTATTAAATGTACTTGGTAATTTATGTTTCATATTGCTTTGAGGGTGGATTTTGGCAGTGTGCCCCTTCTGTTTATCTTCTTTTCTCTATCTTCCACTTGAATTCTGACATACCTTTCAAAAATGAAAGTAATAAAGGTGTTTTGTAAACCTCGGGTGAAAGAATATTTTCCAAAGTTCATCTGTGGAAGTTTTTCCTGAGGAGAGCAGTTTCTTTCCATACCCGAGGTGTCAATTGGATGCACGTAAAGTGAGGGAGACCATTAACGAGGAGTATGGGTGGATTTATTTTCCAAATGCTCTTGGGGTATTTGTCTTCTGGGTTGGGAGCCTTAAAAAGGGAACAGCTTTGCTAATCAAACAAATCCCGTCCAGTGGCTGGAGGAACCTCTGCCTGGCAGTTCCTTCTGACGTGTGACGCATGCAGCATTCCCCGGAATCCATACAATACCAGATCTTCTGCTTATGGGCACAGTGCCTGAATGTATACTTGGTAGGTCCTACACTTCCCAGGATTGTCAGCTTTATTGCCTACATTATTTCTGCTGCTGCACATGCATAACGGGTCTGTTCAGAATTTACTCCCTTGCTGGGTCCAAAAAGTGTACTGGAAAGGCAAGAGGCAAAGATCGGATTGCAACCACCAGAACCAGAGCTTTCCAGCAGCTTTCTGCTGGCTGCCTTCGTTCCCCAGCATTTCACGTATCTGATTTGTATGAGCTCCAGGCAGGAAGATGCGTGTTTGTTTTCTATTAATGTAAGTAGCTCTTGACATACGTGCAGATTTAGAAAGTAGTTGGGTCACCTCTTAAGCCTTTTCTGTTATCTTGAGAGCTAAGAACAATTTTTTTTTTTTTTTTTTTTTGCAAAATATGCCTAAGATACCTATAAAATCACCTTACTTCAAGATGTGGGACCTAGATTGCCAGATATAAGAAAATATCTGGTAGAATCTTAAATGATGTAAGCCTTACCTTTTTAAGGAAATTTAGCTGAATGATAAAATGAGGTCTTTCTGCTCTAAAGCTGGAAATAAAATACAATGTATTTTGAAAAGTACAGAATTAGGGTTCACGTTCATCTCCTGAATGCTCTTGACACTGATAATCGAGTGTAGGACAGTGATGTTGGATGGGAAGCAATCCTCTGATTTGCTTTTGTGCAGTTGCAAAAGGTAGACAAAACCCTTCCCTGCTCAAAGCCTGAGTTACTAGACCCTCTTTCTCTAGCTGGTACTATGCAGTTGGTCTGTGTGTTAGGATTGGCCCATGTTATCAACAGGGATCAGATGAAAGAACAGTAGTTCCTGGAGAAATACCTCGGTGTTTTGCTAGAGAAATTGCAGGTAATTTCCTAGGGTGTTTCACCTTTTATTACTGAGTTGATCTGTCAGTGTTATTTTTAACAGCTGTGATTTGGTTTGGTAGTTCCTGTTCAGATGCTTCCTTGTTGATTGCTTTAGGGAAGTGGAAGGACTCCAGTCTTGTTTCCCCTCTCTTACACAGGAATCCAATGAGTAGGTGAACCTATCAAGGTCCACATTTCTACTTCTTTTTCATCTTTGATTGCCTTTAGAGAGGCAGATGGCACGTCTGGACAAAAGTAGTGCCTGATTTGCTAAAGAAAAAGACATTGAGGTGATTTGGTACCATAAGTTAACATAATTTATTTTTAGTAAAGTAAGTGGGGATTCCTCCTTTTCTGTAATGGTGTGTGACCAACATCTTTGAAACTTGGACCAGAGTTGGTTAGCATCCAAAAACTGAGCTGTACCATAGGTGATAATAAAATTTGGCCCTTTTTTTTTTAAGAAGTATAGCTGCCAGTGATGTGAAGGGTCTGTTAAATTATTTGATATTGAAAACAATCAGCAGCAATTAGCATACTCTTTTATCTGAAGTAACAAAAGAAGTCATCATCCCCTTCCTTCTCAACATTATGTACAAGGATGTCATATACAATGCATATAACTTTGCTTCAAAATCTGAAAGCCATGTAATTTAAAAGGTCATTGTTCTACAAGTCTTTTGAATAAGGAATATTTGAGATTTTGCTTCTTCAAAAATTTATATGCAATAGTTTATTTTAAGCAGCTAGTTGTCAAACCCAATCTTCTCTCTTGTTTTTCAAGTTGGTGGTATATAAAAAGAGGAAAGGAATTAATAATCTATTATGTACATTCTGGCTTCATTATGAGCTGTCACTGTAAATAGTCTCATATAGATACACATAAGACTTCTTCCCATGCTGTTATGTCAATGTAAAGGAGCATTTCAATAAATTAAAATCTCATTTGCTCCCGTTTGAATTTAAGGCCCTTTGTACTGTCAGCATAATATAGATGGGATTCAAATTCACAGTATTTATAGCACGATTCATGAGAGTGACAACTAAACTTTAAAAGAAAATCACACAAAAGCCCCTTTTTTGAGTAAAAAGTTATTTCTAGTATTTTGAAACTTCTAAGTGCTTTCCAGTTTGTAATCTTCCTTCAGACTTCCGTATGTCTTTATTTGTTACAATTCTCTGCCCATTTTTAACCGTGTAGAAAAATTTTACAAGTTGCAGATATTTGTCATTTCAAAACTCAAATCTGTCACTGGTGGTTATGGTAAAATAATTGTATTTGTGAAAGTTAGAGAAGACACTGCTTTAGGCTCCAGTCCTTAGGTGCAGAACGACAATTAGCTGACAGCATTCACAGAGCTGAGGAGTCATGTTGAAACACAGAAAAACTTTCTCTGTTCCTCCTTTCCCCTAAACCTAACAGTAGAGATATTTTGAAGTGACTCGATACTATAAATGTTTAAGTTACTGTTAAATGAAAAGATTCTAATTTATTTCTGCTCCTTTCACAACAAGGAAGACATTATTTTGTCCTCTGTCACTGTGTAAGAAGTGCGTAGTAAAAAATACATTTTGTCATGTTTTCTTAGACTGAAGTGTGAACAAGAAAAGAACATCACAAAAAGGAGAAAAAGAATTAAAAATGCAATTATGCTTCACTCTTGAGAAAGCACATTTTTTCTTTGCTAGTGATTCATTACTACAGGCAAACTTAGCCTTCTTTAGTATTTTCTTCCTATATTGTTTAGATGAAAAGCACTAGGAAAACTGTAATCTTTTAACTATCATGAATAAAATTGTGGGAATGTATGTGCAGAATTCATGACTGTGAAATCAGTAAATCATTGTTCAGGAAACTCAGAACAGAAGACTGAAGCCATTTATGATGACTTGCACTAAGCAATTTACTTTATGCTTAGCATTGTTTAAGCTAAGCTAATCATGGAAGATTAACCTTTAAAAATTTATATTGCAAATTATGCTGATTCCATTCTTGGTTCCTAATGCTTTTAGCTCTGAAAACAACATTTGACATTTACCAATAGTAATGTCAGGCACAAACATTCCCCTATTCTGCAAATAACAACAGTTTGAATTCTTTTCTCTTTTTTTTTTTTTTTTTTTGAGGAAGGAATTGAGGACTGGCACTAGTGCAGTCTTTTTAAATGTTAAACTAAAAGCTGACAACATTGTAAAGATTGTTACTTAGAAGTTACAAGTTGAACACTGGATGACATTAGGCAAGCATTCAGATTTTTGCAGTGGCTGCTGTTTCCTTATTTTATTTGAAAGAAACAAAAATACTTTAAAGAAAGAGTAAGAGAAACTGGTTCTAATGTGTGTTCTGATCCTAAGTTACAGAGGCATTGAATCACATGCATAGCTTTAAACCTCAAGCCATCCTATTGCTGTTGCTGTGACTCCTCATATGCTTATACCGACTTCTGATCTTTGCCTTTAGACAGTGCTGTAATACAAATATTGGACATTTACAATGATAAAAATAACAGTAATCCATAAGAGATACAGTGATTACCAAGTGACAGCTCTTACAGGGTCTCCAGTACCTTTCTTAACAACAATTCTGAGGAAGAAGCAGTCAATCCTCAGTTAGTCTGTCATGCTTTTTTTTAATCTATGGGCTGAGCATCCCTCATGCTCCAGGGTTTTCTTTGAGGCATCTACAAAAGGCAATTAAGAAAGGGAAGTTCAAACATATTATGCAACAACTTACATACATGAAGTTCCAGAGATAAAAAATGCTGGTAGCCATTGAACAAGATAAGAGTTTATGGGACAGTTTCTGTAACAGTACCAATCTTTGTTAGTATTACAAAAATAATGAAGTTTTTTTTTTTTTTTACATAATACAAAAGCAGGATGGGACAACGCATTTAATGGAGTGGGAATAAGTTTCTTTTAGCTTCACAACATATAACACCTCAAAATATGTGTGCTGTATTTTGATGGCATATACCTTGGAATACAAAGTGCTTCATACTTGCCCATACTAACTTTTCTATTAAAAAAAAAAAACCATTGAGCAATGTGAAGAAAGTTATATTCGGGCTTAAAAAATTATTATTTTTATTGCCGTAATTTGTAGCTTTATCTAATGTAATGAGGTCTTGGGGACACTGGATGAGAGGCATGAGTCATGTAAATAGGCACCTCAAAACTAGACTTTTTCAGTAGAAATCCTGAGGACATTGACTTATGAGAGATTTTGCCACCAGTAGATGTGAGTTGCCTGTTTTGAGGGATGTAACTTAATGGAGCTTTTAACTGTTTAATTAAGTCAATTTGTTTCCTATTGGATTTAAGCCCAAACTGAAAATTAAGTGAATACCAAAGGGATCTGTGGTGGGACCAGGGCAGAAAATGGCAATTGTTCCCTTTATAAGCTAATCATTCATAGCTAAGTTTATAGGAAAAAAGAGGGGCTACTGGGGCTTAGCTTGCTCTTAGAGAGTTCTTTGAAGCTAGAAGCTGATTTGTAACTTGAAGAACGATTGTCAAGACATAGCATAAAGTTTAGAAATGCAATCAATACTTGCTCCTTTTAGGAGCTGTTGCTGTCACATCTGCAAAGCTTGGTAGAAGCTCTAAAGCTGAGATCCAGATCTGCAACCAGAAGGGCTGGACCAGCCTCAGGTGAGCTTTTTGGGGTTTTTAACTTGGGGAGGAGGAAGGAGGAAGGAAAATTACTGTATCTCCTTAGCCTCTTGTGCAACATTTAAAGCCTTTTCAAAAGCCCTGTAGGTTGTCAGTCTCCCTTTCTTACATCCCATTCTTTTCCTGACACAGCTGAAGAACAATAGCAGATCACAATATTGTGCTTTCCTTGGTAGTCTTTTGAGCTGTTATATCACACCAGTCCCGATGGTCTGGAATTCTGCTTTTAATTTCAATTGGTTCTTTAAGCTCCTCGTACATGGTGCTTTATAGCTAAGCAGCAGCATAATGTAAAACACAATACCAGGTTAACATAATAATCAGAGGCTTACTTTAACAATGTGAGGCTAAACAGCTCCTGAAAAATGCCACGCATAATGCCATATTTGTCATTGCAAATTGTCTATATGACTATGTGCATACACAGAATATTTGTACAAGATACATGTACACAGTAAACATATTTGAGTGAAGTACGTGTGATGCTGAGCATCATCTAGAGGATCAGTGCCTTTCATTCCCATTGAGATTGATGGAAACTGAGACTTCCGAATTCCATGTGGGAAATTCTCGCAGCACCCAGTCATAAATGACTATAGTATGGGAAAAATGTTGGCTTTCCTCCAGAGTGCTGAAGTGTGGTTCCATAGGTGTGTTCAGAAAATAAAAATTCAAACAACTGTAACTCTTCCCTGATTTACATTCTGTGCACTCCAAGCTATTGTTTTTGATCTACAGTACTTTGGGAGAGGGAGGACAGTTTGTCTGTAGGCTGATTAACTATTATGACTATGAGGCAAAACCTTTTAAGCAGGCAATATTCCAGTGGATCATCAGTTTTACATTAAAAAAATTTTTTCCTTCTTTTTTTTCCTGAAAGTTATTCCTGACTTGTCTGTCTTAGGTCACACTTTCACTCTGTTTACTGCTACTAAGAATTTTCTAAGACCAAACACAGCCTGACTATTCCCAGTCAAAGGTAATGGTACTGAATATGTGGATAAGGCAGATAATATATGCACAACTATATTACCTGTGTCCAAAGCATTATGGTGTTATCCTTTCATTCTGTACTACATGGTTAGTTCTTTTTTCCTTTGAAAACAGTGGGAGAAGACTTCAGAGTGTGCACGAGTGGGCCTATATGGACATTTTGAAATAAAACTGTAGGTCTATATGTTATGAACTGGTGAGATATTAGACATACTTTTTTATCTTCCTTTCTGTATGGCTTTAGAATGAGGAAAAATGACAGCTGACCACACTGCAGCTGCTTAATGCTGTTGTAAATAGATCATAATAAGCATATGGTATATATGGTTGTCTGTGCTGATAAATGAAAGGGTTTGAATTGTTCAGCATCAGTGGAAGGAAAGGGTACAAGAAAAAAAAAAAAAAAGTCCTGATGGCAGCTGCAAATGGTAGCAATTTTTCCTTCCTGCATTAATGAAAGTAATTCATGTAATGCATTTTACTTCAGTCAACAGCAAAATTTTTATGTTCACTTCACAGACAAAGTATTTTAATTAAGAATATGAATGAGCAACGACAATCCACTTGCAGAAAAGCAAAGAAAGCTACCTCTTGGGCCACATGGGTGGAGTTGCTTTGTGAATATAGATTATCGATATAATAAATTCACTTTCCTAAAACTCTTTGCTGAAAGAATATCCTTTAAGCCATATTCTAGTTGTCTGGTTTATCTGTTTTCCCCTCCTAACCTTCCTTTACGTTTAGTATTTGACTGCAGACCTGCATTTTACAGTCTCTAGTGATCAAATCACTTCATCCTCTGTAAACATCACAAATTAAAAGAGCTTTCAGCTACTGAACTCCAACACAACATACACAAAACTAAAATAATTCATTGTCTAGAGACCATAACAAATTTTAATGTGCATTTACAGAGTAAACAGAGGGCTGGTAGGGGTCAAACCAGTGGAAGTGAATGTATGTTTTACAAAATCCACACAATACTGAATTACAAACTAAAAAGTGATGTTTTGTCAAGAAAGGAAATAAACATGTCTATTGGTGGCACGACATATAGATAATATTAAAAACTGCCTTGCATGAGGACCAAAGTATGTCTACTCTGAAGTTATATCACACAGACTTTAAGCAATTTACAGAATTTAAGTTAGTTTTGCATATACAGGAGTTGCAAAATTAGAGAAAACACATTGAAATATAGAACACACACACAAAAAAAAGATGTATATATATATAAACCTCCACGCAGTTGTCAGGGGTTGGCCTAAGTCAGCAAATGCCACGATTGAACAAGAAACGAACCAAAAAAGGAGGGAAAAGAACTACAGGGAAGAATGATGGGGGGGGAACCTAAAAGAAAAATACCCTCATTTGTTTTCCAGAAACAGTGTCCTCTAGTCTGCTTAGCTGCTTTCTAGGGTTTCTTTATTCTCTCTATTCCTCATGCAAAAAAAAAGGGGGGAAAAAAAGGCTTTTTGACAAAGTGTTTTATCAAGGTTGACGTTGATTCATTATGTTTTGTTTCGTTATTTGGCCTCTGTTTGCTTCCAGGCTGGAACGGTCCTTTCAGTGTAGGAGACTAAATGTCACCCATGGTTAACTTTATAATACTGATGACTCGCAGGCCAACCCCTGAGAAGTCAAGGATATGAGGCTTCTACTCGCCGAAAGAAAAGGAAACTAGGTCTTGCTGTTACAAAACGTCCTATTACATCACACCAGTTCTCTTCAAATAAAAGATCAGTGATACGCCAAAGAAAATAAGATCTATTGAGAAAACATGGTATCCTCTTCTTTTTATAATATTTATTTATTTATTTAGTATTTTTGTTTGTACTTCCTGAAGAAGGTGCTCCTTGTGTAGAGATTTAGAGTACATTGGGTGCAGAGTGGTGGTTGGAGGTTAGGGTCAACTTTGCTGTCCGCTCCGTGGATTTTACAGGCGATTTGCTCTTTGCTTTAAGAAGAGAAAGTGATATTGGAAAAAGTCAGCACTTTTAGATTAAAGCAAAGCACCCTTCACAAAGCCACAAACAAGAAGCAGGACAGAAAGTCCATGGCTTGTAGCTATCCTCGCACCTGCGGAAGAAGTTATAAGATATTCGCTCATCTTGCAGATTTCCAATGCTCCTTATAAGGCTGTTTTAAACACATACATTTATATATAAATTAGCTCGCCAGGTTGGCTCTGGTGCCCATGAATGTCTTGGCATGCACTGCAAATGACAACACAAAGTATTTCAGTCCCGGGGAGGTTTGTTTGTATTGCTTTGCTTTTGTTTCTTGTCTGTCTTTTTGAACAGTGTAACCCAGTAACCATACACCAAGAGGAACAAACACCTTCCAGCTCAGAGCACTCTTTACAAAATCATTTCTAGCATCATGCAGTGACCTCATTGACTGCTAACCAAAAAGTCATCTAGTAGTCATATAGTATTTCCTTGAAAAACAGAGGAGATACTGGAAAGCGGCTGTGCTAGTTACAAGGGGAAACAGAATGCCAAAAGGTTGGAACTATGTTTATTTTTGAGAAATTGTATTTTCCCAGACTTTTTTTTCTTTCTAGAAACCTATGAAAACAATGGTATATATCATTATTTCTCAAAACATAGCGTTATATTTGAAGTATATTACTAGGATAAAAACATTCAGGACTGCACTAATTAAACTGAAATGTTGGCACACCAAGGACATGATTATTTAGATATCTTACATCCCAGCTCTTAGTGCTTGATAACTCCCTATGTCATAAAGACTTACATTCACAACTGGAAACGTATGACTTGAGGTGAAAACCATAAACTGAATTTGTTTATACCATAAGTAAAAATTCTAATTAGAACAGGTTAATGCATGATTAATAGATTTTATGGCTATGTGGAATATTTGAATAAAATGAACATTATTGATGGCTATAGACATCAAATCTGTAACAGAACAATGATGTTATAAACTGTCAATATAGTGCTGGACTGCTAACAAATTTTTTTTTTAATCTGTTAATCACGTTTAAGTTACTTTTATGAAGAACTTACTTAATATTAAATTGAATCCTGAGTTCTACTGCAACACCAAAAACCTTGTGTATCTTCTCATCATAATGAAAGCAAAAATAATTCATGGTAAATGCTCATTTTCCTTTGAATTTTCAGACATATATCAATTAAACATTCTTCTATATCTGCTGTGTTTATAAGCATAGCCAAAAGTATTTCAATTACTGTATTTTGTAAGTTTTCCACTTCAGAAAGGGGATTAGACTAAACCCTAGATCTCTGAACACTGCTTCCTTTTGTAAATACATGGCGTGAGACATTGCATATATAGCAGTTGCAATAAAAGACTTAGTCCTCTGTAACATGCACAAGAGCTTCAGAGGTAGCAGTTATATTTCAATTATCCATGTGTGAACTGCATTTCTGAATGAGTATTAACTTTTAAATAGAGCCCTATCTTAAAGATATGACTGAGCTTTTCAAAGAAGTCTGAGGGAACTGCTTGCTCAGTTCCTGCCGAACACAGACGGGAGACAGAAGCCTGGTTTTCTCTTGCCCATCCGCTAGTGCTGGCCTACCCCTGCTAGGCTGCAGTAGTTTTCTGGGCTTCTCAAAGCACATGCTCTATATTAGGAAACTGAACCTTCAAACAAGCACACATACAAATTTGCTGGGACTTCTTCCCGTCGCTTGTTCTCATACAGGTGGGTTTGTGCTGGAGCCCCCAGGTCAAATTTAATTTCTGTTTTCAGTTTTACTGTGGATTGGCTTCATTCTCTCTTTCAGATAAGAGATACAATCTATTATTTAGTAGATCTTTATAAATGTTTTTTTTTTTTCCCCCGACAGAACTTATTGTTAGATCACTTTATTTATACTGAATTTTTTTCACTCTTCTTATTTTTGTTTAAATATCTTTTCAATCAAATAAAATAGTCTTCAGCAGTGTATTTCTCTTAAGAGGTCTTTAGAGAGATGTTTCCTCTGCATGAAATATACAGACCACAAATAAGGATAAATACTCACAAGAGTTTCATAGCTACTTATTAAAATACTTTTCTTTCTTTCTTTTTTTTTGTTTAAAAAAAAACAACTGATGATATTGCAATTTGGGAATATGTGGAAAAGAAACAGAGTATGATACAAAATAGATTTGACTTAAACTGTTTCACGGTGGAAAAAAGCAGCCCCATGATATTTGCAGGCAAAGCATTCTTTGGTTTTTGTTTTGTTTTGCTTTCTTCAATAGTCTGTCGGTCCCAAAGTTAGGGGTCACATTGCCTACGCATGATAAGGTTCTTTATGTATATCATTCATTCATTGTATAAATTCCCAAAATTCTTCCAAATCATATCACATGTTGTACATGCATTTTTTGGTAAACAATGAATTTCTCTCATCTTGAAAGGAATTTAGGTCAGAGTCTATACAGTAAGTGCAAGTTGAAGCAACAGGGAACACATGAGAAAAAGTGCTGCTAAAAAAACTTCAGCTTCTAGGTGAAGGAGGAGGCTGTTAGGATTATTGGAAGTCACTTTAAGATATAGTGCGCAGTGTGCTTTGCATAGTTTTAGGAACCGATTAGTGTATCCTAATGCTGTATCAGGGCCTTATTTACTGCTTTTAAATAGTTTACTTTGCAAAATGCTGTCCAACGCGAACTAATATATTTTCATCAGTACCTCATCCTCAATAAAATTGACTCACAGCAAGTATGGCTGTTAGGTGCACTCTTATCTTTTCAATGATTCTTTATAAAATACAGTAAGAGTTGAAATATACTCAGGTTTACTTTTTTCCAAAGATGCATAAAAGATCTTTCTTTGTACTTTCATGAACTCAGATGTCTCTTTAGTTTTTGGAAGGGTGAAAACTGCAAATGTAGAATAATAACATAGTAAAACTATGCTACCCCAAACTAGCTCCCCAAAGTAGCTATTTTAGATTTCTTGCTTTTCCTGTTCTGTCTGTATTTGTTCATCTTCTATAATTTTGCTTTCTGTCTTGATAAAGGATCAGCTAAGAGAAATAGGTTTGAAATTTCCATTTTTAACTGCAATTCTAGATGTCTACAGAAGTCATAGGGTTTTCAAATGAGAAATTTATTTAATTTTTTTTTACCCTTAAATCAGAGGCAAATTTCAGATCAGAATCCAGATCCAAATGTCTCCAAAATCCAGAGTATCCAAATTCAGAAATTTTATACAGATTCTCTTTTGTTTTATAGTTCTGACCAGGACTTGAATAGTGTCACTAGGACCGCGAGCACAGTAATGTAAGTACAAAACTGTCGATGTGGCTGTAGATTTGCTAAATCGATTACTCATTTCCCTGTCATTTCTAACATTATTTCCTAATTAACGTAGTGAGAGCTAAAAGATTTTATTGCAGGTCAAGAGTACTGAGCACGGCTGGACTATAATTATGTTACCCTCAAAGACAGTAACCTAGAAGAAGAATGGTAGTGTATATGCATATATCATTTCAACGTTATTAGTTAAACCCTACTTGTGTGGGTCAAGGATTCTCACACCATGGCCCCTCAGCCACTGGGAAGTTAATTCTTGCTGTGAGAAGAGAAAAGGTGAATGCCCATATGTTATTTTTTGTTTCCTACCTCTGACATGCATCAAAAAGGGTAAATATCTGTGCAAGATTTACCCTTTTTCCTATTAAAAAATACCGTTTTGCCAAAGGCATGTGATCATGAGAGAAGTTTCTGTGTGAAAGAGTAGTTTATGCCATTAAACTCTTAGAAACTAATTTTTTCAAGTATAAGGTTGACTTAAATGCTAGGAGAACTAAGAAAAGAAAGCAATAGCAATAGATAATTGTGGCCTTTTGTTTAAAATAATAAAATAATCTATGCCACAAATGCTGAGCCAGATTTCTTTACTGTAGGCACTGAAAGGCTAAACATAAATTTTATTCTGTTAATGAGATTAATTTTGGAGTGTCTAGCTATAAAACATTGCATATCAGCAGAAGCTGTAAATTTTTAGTAAACCCATAATGGAGGTGATCAAAAGGCTAGTTAGTCAATGGATGCGTGCATGATTATCATTCCTTGCTTCCACTAAGATATAGATAGTGAGTAGACAAAATTTGTATAAAAATATATGGGATTTGGGGAGGCAAGCAGAGAAAAACTAATTTCGTAATTTTACTCATTTATTTTCCACAAAAGGACGAAACACTAATTTGTAAACTGAGCAGCTGCTTTAGGCTGTACAGTTTTAGAGCGTCCTATTTGTGAGAGCGTCTTACATGCTTAACTACCTTAGTTATCAAGCAGTTTACATCTGCAAGGATTGAAGTCTAGCAAGTGTGGCATACTTTGGACTTGCTAACGTCTGGAAAGACGCTGGGATGTAATAGTCTACTGTGTTTTGATTCTCAATACCTATCAGAGCTTTTAAACTGTGAAAACTAAATTCTTACAGTTTTGCTTACAATGAATAGCCTATTATCCTACAAATAGCAGAGTAAATTTGTGAATTCTACAGCACTGCTTTAATATTTTATTGATCACGTAAGTTTTGTGAGGATATCCTTATATTTCCTTTATACACTAAGCTAGTGATTATAAGAGAAAACTAATGCCAGAGCAGGTGGCATGCTTGTTTTGTGTTGACCAATACAGGAAAAATACAGCTAGTCACACAACAATCCATCCTGGATTCTCTATATGTATCACATGATGCTGAACAATTCCTAAATATATCTTGAGTGAAGGGATTCCTTCTGTGCTTGTGCTTAATACCAGGTAATTTCATTATATTATTGGCTTCTGAAATCACAGAGGTGTGACAAATTTGGCAGTTTTGCTTTTCAGGAATTTATGCTGACATTTTCTTCCATTTTTGAAGTGCCTGGCTTGCTGTTCTGCACCAGTCAGTTTTAGTGTTAGATTTGAAATAGCCTTATTGTCAAGGCCGGTTAAAACCATAAGAAATCATAATTTTGCATGATTTCCAATGTAAAATAAGTAAAAGATCATGAAATATTTACCCTAATTTTATTGGGGAAATTCATGAATCATAGATTTATTGAAAGACCTATGCAGATTTGAGTCCATAAAGA